CAGGCTCCACTTTGTTTTGCAGTGAGAGACTGGCAACTCTGGATTCGATGCCTGGGTCCTTTTTTGAAAAGTGGGCTCTGCCAGGTGGCAGGAGTGGAGGGGAATTTGGAAAAGCAAAAAGATTGTGGCGTCTGGTGGAAAACTGCACTGTTTAGAGCACACCCTTCTACTTATCTGATTCTGACTCTATACTTTCACTGCCCTCATCTACAAGTCTCTAAGCCAGGAGCGGGGAATGTCTGGCCGGTGGGCCATATGCGGCACCCAAAATCATTTGGCCTGGCCCTGTCAAGGCATTAGGGGTGAGTTAATTAAATGTTTGGCCAAATATAGCAGGCTAATTTTTAAGCTGATAATTTTGCATGGCCCACAAATGATGTTTGAAATATCCAAATGATCCCTGGCAGAAAAGAGGTTCCCCACCCCCGCTCTAAGTTATAGAGTTCATGCTTCTTGTCTATGGACACACACATAGTACGTCCCAATGAGACTCAGTTGCCCCTCTCCCCCACCCCCCAAAAAGGCAGTCTCAACCTTCCTTTACTCCACATAGACTCTCTGTGAGTCCTCCTCTAAGGTTAATCCTGCCAGCTCCCTCATTTAGTTAATGGGCTAAATGAACTATTTGACGTGTGCATACGTAATATTTATACGAGTGCTGCCTCTTTTTTGGAAAATTACCTCTAACAGAGAGCACAGGAAGGACTACTGACTCAGGGAAGAAAAGAACTGCCGTGGCCCCTGCAGAGCAGCTGCTCCCAGCCCCACCCATGAAACAGGAGTGTCAGGGGCCGCCACTTCTTCCCATGTTGGACCACAGCTGTGTGGATCTTAAAAAACAAAAGAAAAACAGAGAGAGATAAAACTGAAAGGAAACACAACACTCCCCCCACCAACACTGCAGGTGAAAGGTTGCTTGTGCCCGAAGGAGCCACAAACAGGGCAGCAACCCTGGGCTCCTGCCAAGGCCCGGGAGAAGAGGGCTGGGCTGGGCGGGACGGGCCACCAAGGGGAGATGCTGGGCTCACGCTGCCTTAGAACAGAGCCTGGACGGAGACTGTTTACTTGGGTGACTTCCTGACCTTGGGGGACTTCCAGCATGTTCTAGGCATAAAGATTTTTCCCAGGAAGGTGGAGGGAGGTGTGGGCAAGCACTGCAGGGCCTATGGGTGTGTGAGACACACACACACACACACACACACACACACACACACACACACGTGTTCTGCCATTTCAGAGCATGTGCAGTGCCTGCTTCCAGGCCCTTTTCTCTTTCCCATTCAAAGCTACTCTAACCGAACCCCTTTCTCCTACCAACCACCCCTCCTCCTCCCAAGGCAGGCTGTGGCTCCCCCGCTGGCTGGCTCCCTTGTCCAGCCTCCAGATGCCCAGAGCCCCTGGGCAGGTGAGGGCCCTGCTCCCTCTGAAGGCTCCAGGGTCAACTTCCTGTTGTGCTGGTTTCCTGCAGGATCCACTCCAGGCAAGAAGCAACCCTTCTCCGCCTCCCACGTGGGAAAGCAAACAGATCCTGAAGACCAGATGCCTGTGGAGGCTCCCGCAGGCCTCAAAGCCTTGTTCCTGCAAGGACAGGGAAGGGTTGTTTATTTCAGCCTGGCTGGGAGCCCAGCTGTGTCACATGGAACCCAGGTGCCCAGCCCCGGAGGGGGAATGCGGGGGGAGCGGTATCTACCGATTAAGTCTCTTCAACAGTGGCATCAGCAATAACGCTGGGATGTGCACGGAACAACCTGGTCCTGTGGTAAACGCTTACCCACCTCATCTCATTTAATCCTCGAAACAACCCCACGTGGGGTATCATTACCCCGTTTTATGAAAACGGCTCAGAGGTGAAATACCTTGCCGCCGGCCACAGGGCTGGTGAGTAAGGTGACCGAGGATCGGCACTCTGTCATTCACACTCACTGACACTCCTGGAGCCCTTGTGAAGTCAAGAGAATGCTCTCCATTTACCAGGAAGAAACTGAAGCACGAAAGTGTTTGGAGGCTCTGTTAGGGCCCCAGCTCCCCCAGCACAGGCCCTAACCCAAAGGATGCACCTGGAGCCGGAGCAAATGGAAGGTCCTCCATGGCCTCACCCATCTCCCCTGGGAGGCACGCCCAGCGCCAGGCCCTCCCGCTCCCTTCCCCGCACCTGGGTCTCCCTGATGTGTGCCGTGCACCTGGCTCTCCGGGGAAGTGGCCACGCAGGCAGGCGGCGCCCACCTTCCCCAAGAGCAGGAGCAACCGGCCAGGGGCAGGCAAAGAGCTGTCTGGCCTCCGAAGGCCCATCGCAGGGCACTAGGGCATCAGTGCCATGAGGCTTCTCGAGGACACGGTCATCACACCCTAGAACTACAGCCTGGCTAGCAGGTAGGTGCCAGGCTTGTGCCTGCTCAGGCTCTGCAGCTCACTCCCTTTACAACCTCAGGGCTGCTCTGCACTTGAGTCGTGTCCTCACTACACAGAGGATGCATCTACACCACTGTGCTCGTGACCAGCCATCTCCCAAGGCAAAGGCAGAGAGCTCCGGGCCGTCTGGCTCAGCCTCCCTGTGGAGTCTGTGCTGCTGTAGGTCACGGGAGGTAGGGGAGGGGTGGTTAAAGAGACCTCACCCCCTCCATACCACCCCCCTAGGCCATCCGTGGGCAAACTACAGCCCGCAGGCCGGATCCGGCCTGTTTGAAATGAATAAAACTAAAAAAAAAAAAAAAGACCGTACCCTTTTATGTAATGATGTTTACTTTGAATTTGTATTAGTTCACACAAACACTCCATCCATGCTTTTGTTCCGGCTCTCCAGTCCAGTTTAAGAACCCATTGTGGCCCTTGAGTCAAAAAGTTTGCCCACCCCTGCCCTAGGCCCAGAATTAGCCTGTATATCAAAGATGCTCAGGGCAACCTCACCACAGACCAACTATGGCCCAGCCCTGAGTACCCATTCATTATAATATAAGCCCACCTTCCAGGAGAACGCCTTTAAAAACATGTTTTCCTGCCCTGGCCAGTGTTCTCAGTGGTTAGAGCGCCAGCCTGCACACAGAAGGGTAGCAGATTCAATTCCCAGTCAAGGGCACTTACCGGTCAGGCGTGTGCAGGAAGCAACCAATAGATATGTCTCTCTCACACTGATATCTCTCTCTCTCTCTCTCTCTCTCTCTCTCTCTCCCTCCCTCCCTCCTCCCTCCCTCCCTCCCTCTTCCCCTCTCTCCCTCCCTTCCACTCTAAGAAAAAAAAAAAAGATCAATGGGAAAAATATCCTCGGATGAGGATTAACAAAATAATAATATGTTTTTCTTACAAACCCTCCTAAAAAGTAATTTCAATAGTAAAATACTATTGGGTTTTGTGGTGGTTTTTTTTCATATTTTTATTGATTTCAGAGAGGAACAGAGAGGGAGAGAGAGATAGAAACATAAATGATGAGAGAATCACCAATCGGCTGCCTCCTGCACACCCCCAACCAGGGATCGAGACTGCAACCCGTGCATGTGCCCTGACCAGGAATCCAACGAGTGACCTCCTAAATTCATAGATGGACGCTCAACCACTGAGCAACACTGGCTGGGCCTATAGGGTTTTTATAACTGCTGGAAAGAGCAAAACACGGCGCCGACTAAAACATCCACCCACTGAAGCAGAACAGGGGCTGGCGGCCTCCTGGCACCCGGCCCTGCCACCTGGCTCAGTGGGCGGATACGCACGGGGTCGCACCACATGCCCCCCACAGCCAGAGGCTGTCCGCAGAGGGCTCCCCTCTGCCCGGGGCGATAGGGACACCGTGGAAGGCACAGCAGATGGGAAACCAGATCCTGCTGGCGTCACCGAGCCACTCAGATCAAACCAAGTCCGAAACTCACCCCACCTCTGGACTTTCCAGTTTCAGGAGCCAAAACCCTCCTCTCATTGTTCAGACCATCTGAACCGGGTTTCTGTTACCTGGGCTGTAAACACTCCCTCCTGGCACAGAGCCGGGCGTCACTCATGCGTGCGGTCAGTCCTGCGAGGCAGTGTGACCACGGGCTGCCCCCTGGACGGGCTGCACCCGCGGGGGCGCTCTGAGCTGTAGGAAGTGAATGAGCTGTAGAACATTCTGTAAACAGCTATGAGGACAGGGGTGGGTGGGGACCCAGGGCAGCTGGGGGGGGGGGGGGGTGACCAGAGGCCTGCCTTGGCCCTTTGCAGATAGAACCCGTGTTTGTTGGGGACCCTCACATGTGTACCCCTTATTCTAGGCTTCTTTTCTGTTCTCATCCAACTACTCAGAGTCCGACGAGGTGGCTAAAATGGCCTCAATACTGAATAAACTAACTGGAAAACAAACCCAGCCCTAGCCTTGCCTGAGAACGGGGCTGTGGTCTGTAAGGGGTCTATCCTCCAGGTCTACCTGAATAAACGGGACCACGGAGCCAGCCAGCTGCTGGTGCCACACACCAACAGGGAAGGTCTGGGGCCTCCACTTCCCCAGGCAGGCTGGCTCAGAGGTGCCTGGTGAGGTGGGCACGCCAGTGACCCCGCCAGAGAATGGCCAACTCCGTGCCCCAGCCAGGTAGCCTGGCCCATCCTGCCTGGGGCAGGACAGAGTGGCCTAAACCAGCATTTCCTCTAGCCTCCAAAGTCAAGTTCTTCCACCGGGCTTCTCGCAGGCAGAGCTAACCACCAGCTGCCGGTGACAGCGGTAACCTCCACGGAGGACAGCGGCCTTAAACCACCAATAAAACGCATTTCAGAGTGTGCCAACGATGGGTGCTTTCACCCCCCGCCCTTCTGTCGTGTCCCGCCACACCCTGCCCCACCGGTGCCCTGGCAGCTGCGGATCCTGCCTATGCCATGTGATGTGACCCAAATAAGAACCACCAGAACCACAGAATTATTATAAAGATATATTCCATAAAAGAGCTTGGCAGTCAAAGAAAGCTTCACACATCCCAAACGCATTCTTCTTCCCCTAGTCTACAGGAAAAATTGTAAAAAAAAAAAAAAGGGGGGGGGGGGACATTATAACAGTATCATCAACAAACACCCACCAGCTACGCCACAGCAGCACGCGCGCCCGGCCAGGCGGTGGAGGCGGCACCCAGTCGCTGCACAAGGACAGAACTGGTACCCGACCCAGAGGAGCAGGAGCCCGAGCCGCAGCTGCCCGCCGTCCCTAGGGCTCTGCACACACGACGACTTCATATCCAAGAGCAGGCTCAGAGCAGCCCTGACAGGAGGGGCGGGCGGGGTGGCCACAGGTATCCCGGTTGGGGAGAAAGGAGTCACCTCAAAAGTTAGCATCAGAATGTCCCGAGCCTCTCCCCAGCTGCAGCCGGGGTGGGCACAGAGGCCTGGCCCGAGCTCTCTGCAGGGAGCGGCAGTGCCAGGCTGGCCAGCGAGCGGCCTCAGCGTGTGGCCTGAGGAGCCCGGGCGAAGCCCCCTGACCTCGCAGTGGAAGAGTCATATTCAAGTTCCAGGTGACAGTTTCAGTAGCACCAAGACCAGAAGACAGTGCGGCCGAGCGAGCGGGGAGGGCAGTGGGTGCGGCTGGGTGCACCTGGGCCGTGGGGATGGAGAGGAGCAGCTGGCGGGGCGGGGCTGGTTCTGGAGACACTCACAGGAACTAGAAGGGATGGCTTCAGTCCCAGACACAGTAAGGCTGCTCGGAGAAGGCCCGAGGAATACAGATGGAGTGAGAACATTCTTGCCCCCATAAATAAACTATTTACACGCTTTAAGAAAAGGAGAGCGCAGTCTCAGAGAAGAGCCCCGTCTCAGTCCCTCGTGCCTCCAGGGCGTAAGCCGCCAGGTCGGGTACCAGTTCTGTCCTTGTGATGCAGAGGAGATGGAGCAGCACTCGGCGGCCGGGAGGGAGGGCAGCAGGCCAGGCTCTGTATCGCTCAGGCTTCCTGCGCTTGGACACGGCTGAGGGTCCTGCAGACCCACCAGCCTCCGAGGTGCACCTGTCACCCCATCCCGTTACAGGCAGCACCCTTTGCTGCGGGGAGAAGCCCTATCCATGCCTGCTGGTCTCCTAACCAAGTCCCACTCACAGAGGACGCGGCTGCCCGCCAGGCCAGCACCGATGTCGCGAGTGGTGAGGGGCCAGGGCGCCTGCAGACACCAGGCTCCAGGAGGCCCGGTCAACCCTCCTGGCAGCCCCAGGAGCCGGTCCCTCGGTCGCCACCCCCACCTAAAGACTATTCTGTCTCTGGGCCGACCCCTGCAGGGAGCCCGGTCATAAGTTCCTTCTGTTCAGAGGGTGAAGACGAGGCCCTCGGTCTTCAGCACCAGCAAGCAGGGTCAGAGGTCACACCACGCTGATGCTGAAGACGGTGCTGGCTCTGGCGGGGCGGCCGCTTCGCTGCCTCTGGACATGAAGTGGACATGAAGGGCTCTGGCCTCCACGTGGCTCAGCTCTGCTCACTCCCTGCTGCTCCTCAGAAGTGGTGGCCGGCCTTCACGGCCTCGATGTCTGAGATCAGGGTCTTCGCCAGGAAGATGCCGAATATCTGAAACCAAGGCCGGCAGAGGCAGCAGCGTCAGCGTGGGACCAAGGGGGGAGGGCCCCGTGGGCAGGGCGAGGCGGGTGCCGCAACCACGGCCACTCCTGCCCAGGCACCGAGGACGCAGCAACAGTAACCTCGGGGCATGTGGCAACGCAAGACCAGCCCACCAGTGAAAGTGAGCCCTGGGCCCGTGTGGCTGCACCCCTGGGCCCTGAAGGGGCGAACAGCAGCACCACAGAGGCAAAGGGACACACCTGGGGCTAAACTAAGAAAAAACAGGCTCCCCCTGACTGGTTCTGATTCCCAGATAATACCTCCTGAACGTTTCCGTAAACCCGAGTTCCCCAGAAAGCCCAGGTGCCCCGATCCGACTGCGGGTCTCTGAGGCTGACCTCGGGGCCGGACAGACAGGTGGGAAGACTGACGTTTTTCCACCGAATGTGACCCTGGTCACCTTAGAAGTTCTAGTTTTTATCCTCCCCTTTAAATTCTTGTGATTTGTATTTGATGAGCCGGTCCCTCTGTACTGATTCCTTTGCCCACTTTTCAAGTAAATTTTGTCTTTCCTTTTCTGGATGCTTCTGTCTCCCAGCCTTCCGCTGAGATCACACGCCTCGCTGCTGAGGGAGGGAGGAGTGTGTGGGAGGCGGCTGGCGGCCCCAGGCCCCCTCAGTCACCCGCCTCAAGGCCAGGCCAGAGCCTAACGCTTTCTAAAAGGTGCGTTTCTGCACCTAACAGCAGCGGCAGCCCCAGAGGCTGGTCCCAGAGGCTGGTCCCAGAGGCTGCCAGGGCTGTGGCTGTCGCCCGAGCTCTGGGCATGCCGGGAAACCCGCTTTCTCTGACTCCCTGAATTCCTGACTTTCTGCTGCCAGTTCTCCCATCAGACCCTCGCCAGGCTGCTCACCCCACTCTCACTGCCCCCTGGTCACCACCACCTTCCCACCTGTGGAATCTGGGTCAATGGAACAGGTGCAGCTGCGAGGGACAGCGGGACAGACCTGGAGCAGGGAGATGGCGATGAAGACGCCGGCCACGATGTAGATATTCCGCGGCAGCCAGCCCTCCAGCGCTGGGATGCAGCCTTTCGTGAAGATGAACTCGTCCCACTTGCTCTTCAGCTGCAGGAAGATAGCACAGTCCCCTGAGCCCAGGACCCGGACGTGCCCACCCTGCACAGGGCCCCCCGGGGGACAGGCAGCGGTGCCCAGGGCAGACAGAGCCCCAGGAGGAATGTGGACTTGGGCAGTGTGTGTGTCAATAACCTGCCTAGCCAAGGCCATGACCTTTAACCCCTTCCTTTGGGCTTCCACAGAGTTAAAAACCAACCTGTGCAGCCCCCCACAGCCCACGCCTGAGAAGGGGGGGGTGGGGGGACTCGCATGCTTGGAGAGGAAGCTGTGTCTTTAGAAAGAAACTGGGAGAAGGGGGTTCAAGGGCTTCCGAGTCAGAGGCGTTGGCTAGAGAAGGGACAGTGGCTTCTCCGAGGGTGCCCCTCAGTCCCAATCAAGTGCCTCCAGCAGCCGGAGACGCAGGGACAGGCACAGCCCTGGAGTCCATCTTAAAACCAAGATTGTCCCTGATTCTGACTGTGCTGGTCTCAAGCCCTAATGGAGGCTCGGCAAGCACACGGGGATCTCAGCAGAGCATGCACACCCCGCCCCTACCTGTCCCCACTCGCCCTCCCTCACCCTGCACCCCCTCCTCATGCAGCAAGCAGCCCTGCCCTCACCCATCAGCCTCCACTGTGGCAACACTGATGGAACATTCACTCATTTTCGTGGTGTCAGGGGCCGAACTGTGTCCCCCTACAGTTCATGTTAAAGTCCTAACTCTCAGAATGGGACTGTAGTTGGAGAGGGTGTGTAAAGAGGCGGATCTACTAAAATGAAGTCACTGGAGAGGGTCCTAATCCAATACGGCTGTGTCCTAAAGAAGCAGACTTCAGGACACCAAGACACAGAGGGAAGACCAGGTGAGGACTCGGGGAGGAGCAGATGGCCTCAGAAGACACAGCCCTTGGTCTTGGACCTCTAACCGCCACGGCCCTGAGAAAATCAATGTGCTGTGGAAGCCACGGGAGTCTGCGGTGCTGTGTTCTGGCAGCCCGAGCACCTAACTCCAGTGGCACCTAACGCCACTGAATTCCTAACTGGAAGCTGCTGTCAGTACAGGCCCGTCTCTGTGAAGGGGAGGTCAGTGCAGAAGGGTTGAGGCTCTCGAACCGGAGTGCACGCCCTAGTACCCATGGCCAACAGGGCCGCCACTCCCGTCACCAAGGCCACCGCAGCAAGGGCTGGTGTGGGACTCACTTCCTTACGGCCAGGCGCACACGCCCTGCGGCCTGCAGAGAGCCCCGAGGACTGACCCGCCTCCAGCTCCTGCAGCTGCATCCTGAACCCCTAAATAACACACACCCTGGGGCCCCAAGAAATCTCTTTTGAAATGTAGTCTTTGTCCCCAAACTTTTGTTTGCTCTCTTTCCACTAATGTAGCAACTGCGAAGTTCTGTGACGACAGCTCACGGGGCTTGAAATCACAGCCACGCTGCCCTGGGAGCCCCGCTGCCCCTCAGGACACATGTGCTGGCCACCGCGCCCCTCTCCCTTGTCCTCCCTCTCCAATTGCACCTGCTACGTCAGGAAGCTGCACCACGGGGAGCAAACCAGAAGGACGCACAGTTATCTGGGCTCTCACCTGAGTCCTGACATCATAGCCACACTGTGTGTTCAACACTTTTTGCTGCAAGAAAAGCAGAAAACATCGGTCATTCTTGTTCCCTTGAGAAGCTAGTGGTAGAGGCTCTGGAAGAGTCACAGCCAAGCACAGCAAGTCCCGTATACATCCCAGCATGGCTGCCATCCTCCGACTCAGCTGCCGACCAGCCTTTCCTGCTGGGATGGGCGGGCCAACTTCCCGTGGGAAGGGCTAGACCAGCCGTGGGCAAACTACGGCCCGCGGGCCGGATTCGGCCCGTTTGAAATGAATAAAACTAAAAAAAAAAAAGACCGTATCCTTTCATGTAATGATGTTTACTTTGAATTTATATTAGTTCACACAAACACTCCATCCATGCTTTTGTTCCAGCCCTCCGGTCCAGTTTAAGAACCCATTGTGGCCCTCGAGTCAAAAAGTTTGCCCACCCCTGGGCTAGACGGTACGCACCCTGGCTCCCCTGTGGCAGGCGTGCACTGTGGCCACGTGGCACGAAAGCAGCCGGTGCCAACATAAACGCGACGGGCGCCACTACAGCTCAATCGAACTTGGAGTATGGACACTGACGTTTGAATTTCATACAATTTTCACGTGTCACAGAATATTATCCTTTTTAAAATTTCCAACCATTTATAAGTGGCTGAATCATTCTTGGCTTGAAGGTCACACAAAAGCAGGCGGCAGGCCAGGCCTGCCCACCGGTCAGCTCGCCCCTCCCTGCGCTGGGAACCTGGCCCTTTGGCAGGGAGGATGTGCGGCGGCCAGCCCTGGAGCCGCACCAGGCCCGTGGCGACAACCACGTTCTGTGAAGGGCTCAGTCCCGCTCAGGCTCAGCCTGGCAGACACTCCCTGCTCCTTCCCAGGTTTCTGACACCCAAGGGCTGGGCATGAAAGCAGGTGAATAAGGAGCAACAGAGCAGAATGCTCTGCCACCCAGGCGGCACGTACCCCCTGCGCCTGTGGGCTTTATCTAAGAACTGAGCGTTCTCTCTGTAGAGGGAGAGGGAAGAGGGCGGACCAGGTTGGATACACTCAGAACATCGTGCCCAGGCACCCAGGTCAGAGCCTTCAGGGAGAACAATACTGGTTTTCTCCTGTTTCACCCAGAACCCTGGAGCCAGGGTGGGCATGCAGGAAAGTTCCGGAACTTATCCGTACACAAAGGGCGAGCCTGGCACTCGTCCATCTGCAGGGAAGCCGCAGCCCAGAGCACGCAGCCTACTCACCGCGGGGTCCGGCACGCAGCAGGAGAAGGGCACGCCACACTTCTCGCGGCTGTAGCTGGCACCGCTGCAGTTGAAGTAGACGTTGAGGTCCCAGTCTTCGGGGCCGTACGCCCCGCAGCACTGGTTCTGCAGCACAAAGACAGGCCATAAGGGCTCTGGGCCGGGGCTGTGGCCGTCAGCACAGGGTCGGTCTCAGCAACGCGGGGCTGAGTGCGCCTCTACCTGTCACACGAGGGCCAGCCCCCGGACGCCACCGGCGCAGAGATGCTGAGCGACAGGCCAGGCGGCCCTTCGCGGAGGAAACTGCGGCCACACGCTGGATCCCACAGGCTGGCTCCATGTGCCCCGCCGTGGCCCAGGGCAGAGAGGCCCAGCCCCGGTGCCCCCTCCACCTCAGGCGTTCCCTCCCTTCCCACCTCGGCCCAGAGCAGGTGTCTCGCTGTCCTCGGAGGCGCCTCTGCACCTGGTGTGTCCTCCTCCTCCAAGGGAACACCTCGTGGGCGGGATGTCCCCTCCCCAAGAAATTCCCACGCTGCCCCCCTACTCCCACAGGAAGAGCTACATCTGGGGTGAATGGGACACACCCCTGCCACCCCGCTATCTGGGGCAGCTCCCAAGAGAACCCCGTCTGTCTGAGAGTGTAAAACCAACCCCGCGGGAAGCAATGTGGCGGGACCGTCTGGGAGCAGCGCCGTCCCCACACCTGCCGGTCCCCACACCTGCCCGGCACTGCAGCTCACACACCCCTGGCTTCCGGGTTCTTACTCGTAAAAGCCCACCTTCCCACCCCCACGTCCGTGACTCCAGCTGCTCTAACGATCACGTGATATTCACCAGGAGGAGGTTCCCTGATTAACTGAAAACCTCAGGGACATTCTATTTTGAAAAGGAAAGGAAGACAATGGAGAAACGACCATGTTTCAGGCCAGTGGGGGAGGAGCCACCAGCTCCCTCGATGCCACTGAGCGTGAAAAGGAAGAGAGGGGAGGGGGCGCAGCGCTGGCGGGAGGCGCGGTGAGGGACCTCGGGGAGTGGCTGCCCTTTGGGCTTCGCTTGCTGCCCAAGGACAAGAAGAAGAAGAAGATGCGGGAAAGTCGGCCAGGAAGCAAAGGCCCGTGGTCCAAAGGCAAAGTCCGGGACAATTAATATCCCGGCTTGTCTGACAGAGCAACACAGGATAGACTCTGCAAGGAAGCTCCCAACTCCCAGCGTGTGCCCCGGCCGCTGTCGCTGCGACGGAGAACGCGGCTCCGTGGCCAGGGCTGCCCTGCGGGAGCGCCTAGTTCAGGGCTCAGTGAACTCAGTTCCAAGCGCACAGCTCAGTCATTTACACCAGAAACGCCAGGGTGGGGAGGCCCCGCTGCTGGTGAAGATGCAGGAACAATAGGTCCCACAGCTGTACGTTTTTATCAACAAAACTTTATTAAATTTAAACAAAGTAAGAAAAGAAAATGGCCGGGGCAAGGTGACTTCCACAGACTAACACAGGTCACCTTGCACAACACAGGAAGGCTCTCTGGTCATGTGACCGGAGTTTGGCGATATCCCGAGATCCATGAAATAAGGGTAAACAAGTTTAGGTAAATACTAAGAGCAGATCATAGTTATTTTTAATGCTTCCTAACTCGTTTTCTTCCCAGAACTAATGTGTTCCATACAAAACGTGCCTGAGAAGTAGATTTTCTGACAGAGCACAGACCACGCAGGAGCCCCGCACAGGCCGGCGAGGCGGGGAGTGGTCCGGTCCCAGCCTCCAGTGCACCGCCCGGGGCGCAGAGGCCAGTGGGGGAAAGGCCGGGCCTGGGGCGGCTGAGGCAACCCCCCGGGACCTGTTCCAGGTCGCATTCCTCTCCATCGGAGGCAGCTTCCTCCAGGCAGCTCTGCCTCTCAAACAGGAAGGGGAAAAGGTCCCTGGAAGGGGACGGGAACAGCCTGACAGTGAGTCACCTCTCTGGGGAGAAGCCCTGGCCCTCGGTACCCACAGTGCCCAGGGGACTGCAGCCACCTGCGTGGCCAGGGATAGAGAGGTCTGGCTCCTGGGGGAGGGTAGCCACGGGGACAGCTGGACTTGCCTGCCCAAACCAGGGGGAGAGGGCACACGGAGAGCCAGCCTGGACTGCCCGGCAACCATGAGCAGGCAGAGCTGAGGACCGGCGGTGAGGCGGCCCTCCAGGCCCCGCTCCAGGCTCCCCCAGCCTGGCTCCCGAGCAGCACACAGATGCATGCCCGGAAAGCACGGCCCTCAGGGCGCCGCAGCGGACTTACGGCTTTCTGAAGGGAGTCGATGAGGTTCTGCAGGTCAATGTCGTCCCGGTAGGATTTGATGTTGCTCTCGAAGAACTCGCGGAACCGGTCCCTCACCCAGTCCTGGAACAAGAAGGCCAGCACGGCCACGGCCAGCTCGAGGAAGAAGATGAGCACGATGGTGCCGCAGAACTGGGGACCAGACGAGAGCAGGAGTCACCACCCTGCACCTCGGCCGGACCCACCCGCCTGCCCAGAGACCCTCATCACTACTAGCTCATGCCTCCCCACACCACGGCGCTGCTGGCTGGAGAGCTACATGGGAGGAACTGTGAGAAAGCTCCCAGCCACTGTGTCAGCATTTCCTCTGAAGGAAGCCGAGGCTCACACGGGCACACAGGCTGCCCGAGGGCACAGAACCGCACAGGACAGTGAGTTTCCTGGCAGGGCTCTGCGCAGCTTGGTTGGGGGTAGATGACAGTCCACTGCACAAAGCCATGGCCAGAAGCACGGCGGCCCCTGGTCACAGCGGTGGTGACATTCTGGAAGGGCCCACACAGCTGTAGGTCCACATGCCTCCGTCCCACCTATTCACTGGCCTCACTGCAGCCTAGGACAGAGGGCACCACGCATGCATGCACTCACATACACACATGCACACAGGCCTTCCAAAATGGAATCTCCAGTCACACAGAAGCAAGATACAAAACATAATGCTTTTAAGAAAGAAAAAAAAAATTAGCCCTAGCCGGCTTGGCTCAGTGGGTAGAGCGTCAGCCTACGGACTGAGGGGCTGTGGGTTTGATTCTGGTCAAGGGCATTATGCCTGGGCTGCAGGCTCTATCCCCAGTAGGGGTTGTGCAGGAGGCAGCCAATCGATGATTCTCATCGTTGATGTTTCTATCTCTCTCTCCCTCTCCCTTCCTCTCTGAAATCAGTAAAAATATATTTTAACACAATTAGGAGCCCTGACTGGTTTGGCTCAGGAGACAGAGTGTCGGCCTGCGGACTCAAGGGTCCCAGGTTTGATTCCGGTCAAGGGCATGTACCTTGGTTGTGGGCGCATCCCCAGTAGGGAGTGTGCAGGAGGCAGCTGATCAATGTTTCTCTCTCATCGATATTTCTGACTCTCTATCCCTCTCCCTTCCTCTCTGTAAAAAAATCAATAAAATATATATTTTTTAAAAAATTAGGAAAAACCACACAAATTTTGCCTTTTACATTAAGCTCAGGAAAGAGGAAGCTTGATCTAATGAATTCAACAAATAATATGTTGTAAAACACAACTGTGGTTTCCCCATCAGGTGCTATTTAACGGAATGCATTTCAAAATGAAAGAGTATCTAAATATAAAACTAAACTCTTGGGGACTTGTTCCGCCAGCACATGGAATACACCCTGGAGGAGGGAAGTGATTTCCCAATGTCACTGACAACATCTCCTGATCTCAGCCAGGAAGGGCGAAGGTGAGCAGCAAACAAACAATTCCTTTAGAACTCGGGGAGGAAGATAAAAGGCAAGAGAGGGGAGGGTGTGGGCGGCAGACTCCGTCCCCGGGAGCTGAGAACAGAGGGGCCAGCTGCTTTCTCCGGGGACGAGGCGCTTGCTCCGCGGATTGTTTCCTGAAATTGTACCATCTGGGGCGGCAGCGCACAAAGGGCCCAAGGAGGCTGTAAGAGCTGCGACCAGGGCGCCCAGATAAGGAAAAAGTCTGCCCAGCAGAACCCCCACGCGGCCCCCGCCCGCCCCTGGGGCCACTCACAAACTTGAGCAGGCAGATGTTCTCCCGCAGGGCCCCCACACAGCCAGCAAACCCCAGGGTGAACATGACCACGCCCACCATCAGCACCAGCACCACGGGGTCGATTCCATGCAGCCGGGTCACTTTGGTGAGGTCGGACAGCACCCCCTGAAAGAAGCAGAGAGCAGGGCAGGATCAGCCTCAAAGGGAGTCCCGGGCGTCGGGCGGGCGTGGAGGGCTGGGCTGTGTGCAGACCTGAATGAGGACAGGCTCCTGCCTTGCAAGGCTCAATCATCTCATTAGCAAGCCGGGCGAGCGTGAGGCCCCTGCCTCCTGCCCTTAGAGGCCTCTCTGCCCAGCAGATCCCTGCCCACCTCAGCCCCCGGACCTTCACACGCAGCTTTCCTAGTCTCCATCCAGGCCTGGGGTGAGGGGAGCCCTGAGGGGTCCTGGACCTGTGGTCAGGGCATCTGGTGCCGGAGCCTTGCCCTGGCCTCCAGACATCTGGCAACTGACTGCACTCAACTGACAGAGAACCCACGATCCTGAGAGGACAGTGGCCTCGGTGTGAGCGCCCCCGTGGAAACAAGGCCAGGAGGCAGCTGCCCATGAAACTTCGTGGCAACGGTGGCACCAAACCTGCAGTGTCCAAATGGCACTGCCGGCCACGTGTGCTACTGAGCACCTGAATGTGGCAGGGGAACTGAACAAATGAATTTCAATGTGTATTTCATTATAACTAACTTAAATATAAACAGTCACATGTGATTACTGGCAACCAAAAAGGACACAGCAATTCTATGGGATTCAAAGGAGGAAGGAGAAAACAGCAGCCAGACCAGGCCACCCAGGGGGAACTAGGCAGCTGGGTAACCAGGCCTAAGCGCCAGGCTCTGCGGGTTGAGCTGCTGCTATTCCGGAGGTGGCCACACGGTGGCGCTATGGGCTATGACTTGCACCTGCTTCCAGGTCACTAGGACAAAGGGACAATGCACCTGCCCTTTAGGGGTTCACAAGCCACCCTGTAGGTGCCCAAACCCAAAGGCGGGCCTTATCCAGTTCCTAAGGCAAGAAAGCCCTCCCATCCTCCCACCTCCTCCTTCTGGAGGCTCCACTGAAGAAAGAGCCCTGGGCCTGAGGCTCAAGGTGAAACATTAGTTTCCACTGTTTCTGGCCTGGCCTGCTGGGCCTTGTTCAACCCTCACCACCTCCCCAGCACCCACCCACCCACAGAGCAAAAGGCGCACCGCCTCTAGTACCCTCCCCAGAGCTCCCACTGCCCTTTGTCCTGGATGGTAAGAGCCTGTCTCTCTCCTCACCTTCCTCCAGAGGCTGGGCAAGGAGGTGCACAGGGCACAGGACCTGCCCCTGCCCATGGGGCCCATAACAGAGCCCTGCTCCCTGGTTCAGAGTCTTTCTGGGGTGAGGACAGAGCTTCAGGAATAAACACACGGACCCTCCTGCTCCCAGAGGCACAGACCTGCCCCGGACACAGCTGCCAACCAGCCCAGGGCGACCTGGAGCTTCGGGAACAGGAAAGAGGGCTCCACACTCAGAGCTCAATACCAGGCAGCCCAGCCCGGCCCCCAGCCACCCTAAATTCACTAACTATTTCCAAGAACTGGCTCAGTCAAGATGAATGACTGCAAATCACGACCTGGCACAGAAACACCTGTCAGGGAGGAAGGGACCGTGAACGCTGAACCAACCTGGCTCTGGCTGTCCGACGCTCAGGGTCCTAGTGACAGCTACTTACCTTTTCGCTCCATGCCCACAGTCCGGCTCCGAGGAAGGCAACTCCAGCCAACTGAGCAGGGGGCGGGGGGGGGGGGGGGGGAGGAGAAAGAGAGAGAGACAGAGTTAGGCTGGAAGCCAGCACCATGAACATGCTTCTCAGAGAAAGATCCACACGGCCAGCAGGAGAGAGACAATGGCTCATGTCCATCCTGGCGGATCAGGGCCGGCAGCCCCTGGGCCCTGCAGAACAAGGCACCCGGAAGGCTCTGGATGACCCACACCTACCTTCCCTGAGCATTTAAACAAACTCCTTCAGCCCTCCAGCTCCACTCGCAGGCAGGGGCCCCCAGAACACACTGCCCTGCCAAGATGCCGGAGTCAGAGCCCGCAGGCCACGCCCGCTGTCCCCATTCCACAAGCACCCCCATTTCAGTGTGGTCTGTGTCTACGACACCGGCAGGCCACGGCCACTGTCCCCATTCCACAAGCACCCCATCTCAGTGCGGTCTGTGTCCACGACACCCGCAGGCCACGGCCGCTGTCCCATTCCACAAGCACCCCATCTCAGTGCGGTCTGTGTCCACGACACCCGCAGGCCACGGCCGCTGTCCCCATTCCACAAGCACCCCATCTCAGTGCGGTCTGTGTCCACGACACCTGCAGGCCACGGCCACTGTCCTCATTCCACAAGCACCCCATCTCAGTGCAGTCTGTGTCCACGACACCCGCAGGCCACAGCCACTGTCCCATTCCACAAGCACCCCATCTCAGTGCGGTCTGCGTCTATGACACCGGCAGGCCACGGCCGTTGTCCCCATTCCACAAGCACCCCATCTCAGTGCGGTCTGTGTCTACAACACCCGCAGGCCACGGCCGCTGTCCCATTCCACAAGCACCCCCATCTCAGTGCGGTCTGTGTCTACAACACCCGCAGGCCACGGCCGCTGTCCCATTCCACAAGCACCCCCATCTCAGTGCGGTCTGTGTCTACAACACCCGCAGGCCACGGCCACACCAACATCGCCCAGGTGCCTCCATAGGCTCCGTGCAGTGGAGACGCTGCACAGCCCGGCACCGCCCCACCCCACCCCGCCTCAGGCCCAGGTCTCAGGCCTGGACAGACTCAAGCAGCTGCGAAGCCTGCCCCCGACCCCACCCCTGGGCACACGTGTGCTTGGGATATGCCGGGTCCTTCGTTACTAAATTAAAATAGGCCTGAGCTAAGCGACGTGCCCACCCCAGAAAAGCACAGGCCCATCCCTGACCTGCCACCTGCAGGAACCCACTGGGGTTAGGCTGCCTCAAATGCACCCCCCCACCCCCCAAACACCACACAGATTCCTGAACTGGGAGGATTTTCCCACATGAAACAAACACCTCCTGGTCTGCATATCATCAGCCTCCTGTTTCACTCCCTTACACCGTGCAGGCACTCGCTGCCATTTATCAGGTCCTCATGGGAAACAGCAGAGCCGGTGTCTCCACGGCTCTCACCTCTCCCACATGGATTCTCCAGCTTCAGGACGTCCCTGCCTATGCAGCCCACCGCCAGCCTGCGGACGGGAAGAGAAGAACCTGGCAAGAAAGCCCTGGGCGTTCTTACCCTCTTCTGCAGCCAATTTCAGAAAACGTGGGCATGCCCACTATTTGGAGGGAATTTCCGAGGGCTGACTTCTCACTGCTGGTTCCCTCAGCCTGTGGACCCCAAGTGAAGAAGCCCTGGGGGGACCGATCCCTCTATTTCACCAAGGGGAACACGGGCCAAGCAGAATGCCAACCGGGGGGGGGGGGGGGCCACAACCTCCTCCTCTCCCCAGTGTCCCAGGTGGTAAGCGAGCCTGAACGTGAGCCGTCACTGCCCACTGGATCCTGGAGGCTTCCTTCCCACCATCCCCGAGTCCCGGATGTCTTACTTCCTCTTCAAAGCTGGAAGTGGAGGCTTTCTTCTGGGCTCATCTGGTCTCCGAAGAGCTGGTCATTCCCTTCTCCACAGACCACTCAGCTTTGGGCACGAGGCACACATTCACAGGCGTCACTGTCCACACACCCTGTCACCACTCCTCCCCTCCCCCCCCTCCTCCCCCACCCTCCCCCTCCTCAGAGCTCTCTAAATGCTGGGAGCCTCACACTCAGGCCTACCCACCCCCGAGCTCTCTCGATGAGTTCACAGGCTTTCGATCCCATCTACACCGCACGCTTGCTGACCACACCCGTCTCCAGCCACAGCTGCTCCAAGTCAAACACTCAGCATCTACCTGACTCGTCACCTGAGCGATCAAAGGACTCTTCAATCTGCACGTGCCCCCAACTGGAGCCTTGCCCCCCCCCCCCAGTTCCTCCCCAACTCTGCCCTCGTTACATTATGGCACCTACTCACTCACTTAAGACAGAAAGCCTTGACCGCATGCTTGATGCCTCTCTTTCCCTCCAACTGCAAGTTCCCCCTACCAGACCCTCTGCTGGTTCTCCCTCCAAAACTCGTGGCCAGTTCTCCTCCTGCCCCTGCTGCCACCTGTCCATGTCCACCCCCTCGGCGCCTCCTCACAGGTCCCCAAGCAACTGCAATGATCTTTTAAAAAACACCGAACACACGACTCCATACCCTGCAATGACTTCCTTGAACTCTTAGAATAAAATTCAAACTCCTCACCACAGCCCACAAGGACCAACACGGCCAGGCTTTGGCCCACCCTCCACCATCACCTCCTACCCATCTCCCCTCCCCAACCCCACTCCAGGCCACGCTGGCACCGGTACCAGTTCTGAACGCAGCAAACGCAGCCTGTCTCACAGCCGTGACACCGTTCCCTTGGCCTAGAACAGCGATGGCGAACCTATGACACGCGTGTCAGAGGTGACACGCGAACTCATTTTTTTGGTTGATTTTTCTTTGTTAAATGGCATTTAAATATGTAAAATAAATATCAAAAATATAAGTCTTTGTTTTACTATGGTTGCAAATATCAAAAAATTTCTATATGTGACACGGCACCAGAGTTCAGTTAGGGTTTTTCAAAATGCTGACACGCTGAGCTCAAAAGGTTCGCCATCGCTGGCCTAGAATGTCCTTCCTCCCTCTCCCTTCCTGGCTCCGTCCCTCCGTTCATTCCAGGCTCTTCACAGTCCACTCCTCAGGTGCCTCCTTTCCTGTCCCAGGTGGACAAGCCCCCACCTTCATCCTGACCACCTCCCGTGCCTGCTTTTCCTCCGGCCGTCAGCCAAGGCCACACGAGCTACCTGTCCAGTGTCTCTCCCGTTTAAGCTCTCTGAGGGCAGAGAGGTTTTCGGTCTTGTTCCAGGTTGTACCCCAACAACTTGGCGAGGACTTGGCCCTTGTAGGTATAGAGCAGGCGTGAGCGCGTGAGTCGCCAGAGCCCCCAGACGGAGCAGCCCTGCCCGTGGTCCTGCCTGCTCGCCTCCCAGCGCTCTCCCGGGTCTCAGTCCAAATGCACTCAAAGCAAGAGCGGGCCAAGCAAAGGCCAGGCTGGCCAGGTCCAAGGCCAGGCCCCCCACGGGGATATTAGGGTCAGAGCAGGATAGGCCTGGAGGCTGTCATCCCAACCCCCTCCAGTGGCCCCAGCAAGCATCCCAGCCCACCAAGCTGCACTCCACGGCAGCGCGCCCACTGCCTGGCACCATGGGGGACGGTGAGGAAAGCCCACCCCCTATCACCCCTCACTGGGCCCCGGTGAGCTGCCTGCTCCCCGCCACTGGGCACAGCTCTCTTCTCACACGGGCTGCGCTCCCAGACAAAGGGCTTGCGCTTCCTTCCTTCTCTAAAGGAAGGACTCAAGTTAACTTGCACCAGGAAAGACAGGAACCAGGGGTCACATGTCAGACCTTGGGTTTAATGATGCTGACCCGGCAGAAAGTCTGGGCCCGGCACTTATTTTAGAGACGAGTTGACTGAGGATCAGACAGGGGAAGCGGCCTGTCTGGAAGCTCACAGGGCAGCCCTGTGACCGGCAGCCAGGACCGCCAGCATCACCCGGTTCGCCGTGAACTCTTGCACCATCGGTGGGGCTGGGCCATCCTCACTGGGAGACGGTTCAGCCGGCACCCGGCTTCGGAGTAGCCTTCCTAGTCTCTCTTCTAAACCCTGATGCAGTTCCCTCCCAGAGACTGAGGCCCAGCTGCCCCAGCCCGAAGGGAGGCTGCGGGGACGTCACCGCAGTGGCACGGTGGCAGTAGCACCAGCCTTCCCTGAGCGCCAGGCCCCGTGTTAATCACTGAACACCCCGAAGAGGCCCTTCCATACCCATCACACGAGCACTGTTACCCCCTTTTTTCAAACAGGAAAACAGATATATAGGACGACTTGGTTATTTGTCCAAAGTCACCTGGCTGGCTGGTGGCCATGAGGTAAGACCAAACCTGAGTTCCTGACCTCCCTTATCTCCCTGGTCAGGAGGAGGGGCTGGTCAAGGGGCCAGAGGTGAGGACGTTTCTCAGAAGGGGCTTCTGAGCTGTGCGACTCTAAAGCCAAGGCCCCCCACTGTCCGCCAGGTGGTGGGGATCGCTGAGTCCCAACCAGGGCAGGTGGCCTCCTGGGAGGGAGAGGGGGTGCCCCTGTAAAGATCCCGCATCAGCCTTCCCACCCCAGACAAAGGAGCCTGGGAAGGAAGGCGGAGGATGGTCCCACCCTGCCTGGTCATGGGGCTGCACAGAACCCCTCGCCTGTGAGCGAGCTGCGGGGCTTTACCCCAGAGACTCCCACCCCGGCCGGGCCTGCTGGACGGCAGGTCCCGAAACCACGAAACCACGTGTGTCGAAACAGCCCCTCTCCACTGGCAGTTTAGTGGCCAGGCTCCTTGCGAAATGTCATTCCAGTGTGTGAACATACTTAGGCCACTCCTGTGGGCCCAGAGGGCTTTGCTCAACACGCTGGAGACAACCCGCCAGCAGTAGCGCAACACCTCGGGCTGCCCCGTGGCCTCTGGCGGGAAGCTGACACTCACAGAGCCCTTCCCTTCCCCTGGGCCGCCTGGGGGAGCCTCGAGAAAACCAGAAGCACCCCCAAGAAAGAGAAGGCTGGACGAACAAGCATAGCACAGGGCAGGGGTCCTGGCT